TTCCTGTGTGGCTGGTCAGAGCATTCGAGCTCGGACTGCTGTCCAGAGCGTCAACAGAGTGGTGCACTGTGGGATAGCTCCCAGAGCTATTAGCGTCGATTTCCATCCACACCTAGCCTAATTCGACATGGCCATGTCGAATTTAGCGCTACTCTCCTCGTTGGGGAGGAGTACAGAAGTCGAATTTAAGAGAGCTCTATGTCGAACTAAATAGCTTCGTGGTGTGGACGGGTGCAGAGTTAATTCGATGTCACGGCGCTAAATTCGACATAAACTCCTAGTGTAGACCAGGCCTAAGTTATCTCTATCCCAACAAGCTCCAATCTACTCTATTGAAACCGGAAACTACTCCCTTGTTAGGGGGCTTATTTTTTTACCCTCTTACTTCCCTGGTCCTTCTTGCATGAACAGAGAGCAACAATACCCGAAGTCCAAAGGTGCAAACAATTTGATGTTTATTGGGGTGAACTTTCAGCAAGCATGATTCCAGTTTCCTTCCTTAGTGTCCCCCTTCCCAGCTTTGACACCTCAGAGCCTTGCCTATGTCCCTGTTCCCATTCCCCCCCTTAGCAAAACATGATCCCAATTCCCCCACCCCCTGTTCCCATTCCCCCCTTACTTCCTGATTAACTGCAGACTATATAGTAAAACTAAAGTTCTGCTTAGCTATACCTTAACCAATCATTTTACTAAAATTTAACTAACCAATCCTAACATACTGTAACATGGTTATTTAACCAATTATATTCCCACCACCTTAATTAGTTTACACCCAACAAAATTAATTATACAGCAGACAAAAACAATTACAAAACCAGAAACCATGCAAATAAACATACAAAACAATACAAAAGTAAAAATTTCACAACTACATCTGTACAAACATAAGGGTTTTCCAGCTGTGTCTATTAATAAGTAAGTTTTTACCAAACAGAAAACTATCAAACTAAAATTTTCTTTTACATGTTCTAGGCTCTTTCCTTTCTCTGAAGGTAATAAAAATATCAGAACAAAATTGTATTTTTAACAGCCCCAAACATCTTATTTTCATGTAACTAGTTTGAAATGTAAAAATGTGACCGTTTACTTCTCAGCTTATGGCTGCCTCTGCTGCTTAGCTAAAGGCCTTGCTTAGCCTAAAAACAAAGCCTCAAACTGTCCCTTACACATACAAAAAGTACTTTTAATTCTTTCTTTTATACCTCTATAACTAGCTAAGTAATAAAAATACATCTAAATTCTTAAAGTATAGGCCTTTACAAACAGGCCTAAATATCTATATCCTAACACAGCAGACAGAAACAATTACAGAACCAGACAGAGACCATGCAAATAAACATACAAAACAATACAGAAGCGAGGATTTCACATTCCAGCTATTGATAAGTGAGTTCTTGCCAGACAGGATGCCATTAAACTAAGTTTCCTTTTACATCTTCTAGGCTCTTCCCTTTCTCTGGAGGTGATAGGAATACAATCCTGTCCTGATATTCCTAACAGCCCAATAGCACCTTATTTCAGTGTGACTAGTTTGGAATGTAAGGATGTGACCATACATTTCCCAGTTTATGGCTGCCTCTGCTGCTTAGCCAAAGGCCTTAGCCTAAGAAATCCAGGCCTCAGACTGTCCCTTACACATACAGAGAGTGATTTTGATTCTTTCTTTTATATCTCTATAACTAGCTAAGTGATAATACACCTAAATTATTAAAGTATAGGCCTTAACAGACAGGCTTGAATATCTATATCCTAACACTCCACCCCTTTTTTTTCTTCTTTTTCTTTTGGGATTTTCCTGCCCAGGTATTCCTGGAAAAGCATAGGACATATGATGACATTTTTTGATAGGGCCAGGCATTAAGGCGAAAGGTGTTGATATTTTATTTGTTTCACTGCCCCTTGTGTAGTACAGTGCCCTGCACCTTTTCTCGAACAGGCATACCACATTTATTTTAATTAGTGTTTTAGACTTTCCACTATAGTGGGCCCAAGAAGGTTGGGTTCGGGTTGTTTTGCACACTGCGGGGTGAAGAGGGCTTACTACATTACTTATAGGTTATTTTTATATGCAACATAACACAGGTACAGTTAACAATTAGTATTTTATTTCCAAATCTAGTCCATTTCAGTTAGTAGTAGTCCATGCAGTCAGCAGGTCACAAAATCAGTTCTCCAAGTGTCAGTTTTTTCTCTGAACTGTGCCAGAAGAAAGCTGGGTGGAAGAAAGCTATAGATTTCGACATGTTTGTTGGAGCAATAACAAAGTAAGCCAAGTGTGACCTAATGCAGCCTCAGGTTAATTCCCTAATCTTGAAAAAAGAACAGGAGTACTTGTGGCACCTTAGAGACTAACAAATTTATTAGAGCATAAGCTTTCGTGGGCTACAGCCCACTTCTTCGGATGCATATAGAATGGAACATATATTGAGGAGATATATATACACACATACAGAGAGCATGAACAGGTGGGAGTTGTCTTACCAACTCTGAGAGGCCAATTAAGTAAGTGAAAAAAAACTTTTGGAGTGATAATCAGGATAGCCCAGTACAGACAGTTTGATAAGAAGTGTGAGAATACTCACAAGGGGAGACAGATTCAATGTTTGTAATGGCTCAGCCATTCCCAGTCCTTATTCAATCCTAAATTGATTGTATCTAGTTTGCATATCAATTCCAGCTCAGCAGTCTCTCGTTGGAGTCTGTTTTTGAAGTTTTTCTGTTGTAAGATAGCCACCCGCAGGTCTGTCATTGAATGACCAGACAGGTTAAAGTGTTCTCCCACTGGTTTTTGAGTATTACGATTCCTGATGTCAGATTTGTGACCATTAATTCTTTTGCGTAGAGACTGTCCCTAATCTTGGCTGCTGATAGCTGCAAACTTTTCCTGAAGCAGCAACTCCAGATAGTCAGTCATACTGCAGGGGAGGGCGTAGTCCTCGGGGGCCTGGAAAATACCCCCTCCTGCACCCCACACCTCAACTCCCTGCCCTGAGCCCCCTGCCGCACTCTGCCCGCACCCCTCCTGCACCCCAACCCCTTGCCCTGAGCCCCTTCCCGCACCCCAACCCCCTTTCAATGTTGATGTAAAGAAAATAAAAATATATTTCTGTCAAGGAATTGTTCACTACCTTTTGTCTGTTTTCTAGTTTTTTATATTGGAAATGCATGAGTGAAGAACAGTTAATATATGTTCAAATGTAAGCACATTGCACCAGCATTTCAAAAAAAACATTCAATGAATGTGTAAAATTTTTATTTGAGTGAGAAACCAGGGATACCAGAATGAGAAACCAGCGGTATTAGCATTCAAAATGTATAAATCCTAATATTGCGTTTATCAACCTTAGTTTTAAGCAGAGAAATGAAGGGTTAATTTTTATATAGCCCTTTTACTACAAAACAATTTTTGTTGGCCAGGGCCCAAGTAGCACAAACTTATCATCGCTCTGCATCGTATTGCCCAATCACTCCTGGATTAGACTTTATTTACCACTCTTACATGTAAAGAGCACTAAAAATTCCTTCTTTTGTGAATGTAGGACTATAATAGGTTGCCAAAAAAATATATGAGGTGTGGTTCTATGCAAACTGTCAAAAGTGTACTCTCTTACATAAGTCTGATCCTGTGTTTGTTCAGTCTTGTTTATCGACTGCAATCACATACATTAGTTTTTAATGCTTTTTATACCTGCAGAGCATGCTGGATTCTGCCTCTGTCCCTCAGAAGTGTTTTTTTGGCTTCCACTGTCGCATGCAGCGGTGTTGTAGCCCCAGGATACCAGAGAGACAAGGTGGGGGTGGGGAGGTAATATCTTTTATTGGACCAACTTCTGTTGGGGAGAGAGACAATCCCAACCAGACCTGAAGAAGAGCTGGTGTAGTAAGCTCAAAAGCTTGTCTCTCTCACCAACAGAAGTTGGTCCAATAAAAGATACTTCCTCACCAGGGCCGGTGGAAGGATGTTTCGCGCCCCAGGCGAAACTTCCACCTTGCGCCCCCCCCCCGTCCCTGAGCCCCCGCCCTGAGGCGCCCCCCCCCACGGCAGCTCCCCCCTCCGCCGAGGCACCCCCCGCCCCAGCTCACCCCTGCCCCGCCTCCTCCCCCAAATCTGAAATACAGTGCCCTAAGACACGACGTGGGGATGGCACGTTACTGAATAAAAGAATCACCAACATGTGTCTTAAAGTAGTCATCACCTGTCAGAGCTTGGGGATTCAGCCCCGTGGGAAGTGCCTGCCGGGGTTCAGGGCTTCAGTCCCCCGGGAGGCGCCTGATGGGGTTTGGGGCTTCAGCCCCACTCCTGCTGAAGCCCCGAGTCCTGGCACGTGCGCCCAGCGGGGCTGAAGCCCCGTGACCCTCCTCGCCACTGGGCAGAAGCCCCTACCTCATGACCAGGCAGAGGTCCTGAGCTTCCCCACCCTCAGTCTAGTAGGTGGAAAATGGAGGGGGGGGTCATTGGGGAGTTCTGCAAGCCACACTTCAGTGGTAAAAGAAACGCATGTGGCTTAGGAGGCTCTTCCAGTCACTTACATCTGTGCAAACCCACTACAGACAATGGGCAGTACAGACACCAGCTAACAGCAGCAATTGGTCATCAGAATCTTATTGTTGGAGTTTGTGCAAGAGGGAGGGTGCAGGGCTAAAACACAGAGGTAGGAGGGTCAGAATCTTTTTAGCTGCAAATTAAACACCTCTAAGCTCGAATACAGAAATTATTGAAATACACATGTGGAAACCTGTGCCGTTGTGAATCACCTTGCAAAACAGAACAAGTTAGCTAGCTAGCTAACCCCTCCCCGCTTTCCCCCACCACAGCAGCTTCTCCTCACTCCAACCCTCGTGTGAGCAGGGAGCCACGGGGGTTTAGTTCCGTATTTCAGGGCAGAGGGGAGAAGATTGGCTGCAGCTGGGAAGAGAAACTGGTGTCCCCACTAAAAGGAGCAGGCAGGGTTCAGCTCGCTTCGCCCGTTTTCCCAGCTCTGGGAGGCAGAAGCTCTTACCTGCGGGTGGAGACGGGAGAGAGCTGGTTCCTCGCTTCAGCTTGGTTGGGAGCGAGCCAGCCCCTGGCAGCTGCCTCCCAGGAGACACCAGCCAGCCCGGGGATGCTGCTCTCTGGGGTGTGCGGCAGGCACTGCTGGGAGCGGAGACGGGGCGGCCGGGGCACGCCCCAGGCTGGCCGCGCTCGGGGATGGTGGGTGAAAGCCGAGCGCTCTGCGGGGAGATGGGAGCACATGCGGGGAGCCTGACCCTGCTCCCACCTGCCAACCCTTCCCCCGTCGCCTTTGGCGCGCCCCGAGGCGGCAGCGGGGTAACCCGGGCGCCACCACGGAGACTGGGGCCAGGCACCAAGTCCCGCTGCGCGGACGCCGGAGCCTGGTGGTGGGAGCGCGCTGCAAGTGGGGAGGGAGCGGCTGGGCGGTGCCCTTGCGCCCAACGCGCTATGCCGCAGCCTCATGCGGGAAGCGGGCGCGGTGGCTGCTGACTCCGCCCGAGAGCCCGGCTGCTCCTCCCTCCCACGCCTGAGCAGCAGCAGGTGCAGCCCCTTCCCCACCGTGCTACACCGCAGACACCGGCCGGTTTGCAGCCGCTTGGTGCAGAGGGGACACGCCCCGCTCTGCTGCTGTCCGAGGCGGGAAGCGTTGCTAAGGCACCGTAGGGAGAAATCGCTCGGATTTGAGATTTAAAACACTTTAAATCGCCGCGATTTGGGATTTCAGCCAGGGGGCCGCGTGGTTGCTAGGGCCGGTCGTTACAGCGGCCCTAACCTTGCGTCAGGCAGCAGCAGGAAAAACAAGCCCGGGCAGAGAATTTAGGGTTTGATTGAATACACAGTTGACATCTCCGCACACGTGTCTTTCCATGAACACGTGCAGGAAGGTATGTCACGCACTAGTACAAATACTTTTTCTCAGACAGAGCAAATAAGTATTTTGGCTCCAGGCTCATTGAAGTAATTTTCCTTTCACTGTACAGTACTGGCTTATAAGTAGCAGTTTCTCACAGCGCACCTCTGTCTCGCCCCTTAAAATGCCTTGGGATCACAGCCTTTACTGGAAGTTGCCTGTAAAGCCTGCTTGGCAGACCCTGGCTTCCAGGGGCGGCTCTAGGCACCAGCAAAGCAAGCACGCTTGGGGCAGCCCATTTGCAGGAGCAGCAGGGATCTATGAGACCTCATTCTACAGCCTGCTTTGAATGGAGAGCTGTATTGGGAAGGGTAGGGATACCATATTTTAATATTCAAAAAATAGGACACTCCATGGGGAGGGAGGGTAGCCCCACCCTGCCACCATCCACTCCCTCCAACTGCCCCCCACAGAAACCCCAACCCATCCAACCCCCCTGCTCCCTGTCCCCTGATCACCCCCTCCCAGGACCCCTGCCCCAACTGCCCCCCAGGACCCCACCCCCTATCTAAGCCCCACTGGTCCTTGTCCCCTAATTGCCCCCTCCTGAGACCCCACCCCCTATCTAAGCCTCCCTTCTCCTTGTCCCCAACTGCCCCCTCCTGAGACACCCCCCCCAAGTTCCCCCCAGGACCCCACCCCCTGACAAACCCCTGGGACTCCCATGCCTATCCAACTGCTGCCTGTCCCCTGAGTGCCCCCCCAAACCCATCTACCCCCCTTCTCCCTGCCCCTGACTGCCCCCCTAACCTCCGCCCCATCCAACCCCCCCTGCTCCCTGACTGCCCCCCCAGAACCCCCTACCCCTTCTCCAACCTCCCAGCCCCCTTACCGTGCCACTCAGACCAGCGTGTCTGGCTTCGCGCAGTGCCAGACACGCTGCTGCATACATGCTGCCGTGCTCCCCTGCGGACCCACAGCCTCCTCCCCCCAGCACCTGCCTTCCAGATTTGAACATCTCAAAATTCAGCAGTGCTCAAGCTCAGTTACTTCATTTCTCCCAAATCAAATATACTGATCCACTGTAACTTGCTGTAGAAAAAGTAGGATAAAATTGAGCAAGAAATGCTTCCCAGTGGTTATTAGGACTGGAATTGCTATTTTCAACAGCCATTGCCTTGTTTGTTTAAAAAGAAGACAGTGATATTGCATTGGCAAATTCCCCATAGAAAGAAAGAGTGGAACAAAAGAATAATAAAGGCACCTCAACTTTTCCTCATTTATGGAGGACAGTCTTATAATATGCATCCAGATATCCTCCAGTCACACAAGCTGAAAATTGTTCCACTTTACTGCAGTTCTGTAACCATATGGTAACCAATCCTGTCTGTGTTCTGTGCACATCCAAAATTCCTGCTGAATGGCCTGCCCGGGGAGCGAGTTACCAGTGACCCAGGGCTGCGACGGAAGGAGGGTGCAGG